CTTTCTTTCTTTCTTTCTTTCTTTTTTTTCTCCCCTTCCTTCTCTCTCTCTTCCCTTTTTCTGTATTGTCTTTTAGCTTTTCGTCATTTACCTTTTTGGGTCATTTTAAGTCCCTTCTGCTGTGTTTTTCAGTGTTTTTATGAGTGAAGGACATACATTGGGTTGTTAGGTGTCTTGTGTCCAAATTTGGTGTCAATTTCCCCAGTGGTTTTTGAGTTCTGTTAATCCCACAAACAAACATTACATTTTTTTTAATGTGTCGCAATTTTCAAAAAGTTCTCCACCTGCTTAGAATGCGATGGGTGCTAATCTAACCTCTCTTGAAGAAGAGACATGGAGCGGCCATCGAAAAGTCCCTAGTTTTAATCCAAGCCGTTTGCAGGCCAGATTGCAAAGGAATAACAGGGCCAGACTGAGTCAGGGCAGCTTTGGAAGTCAAAGAGATTTGTTCCCAAGCTAGAGCTCAACATAAGGAAACCATCCTGTTTAGGGATCAAAAAGGGAAAACGGGTTCGGCCGCTCGGCTGGTCGCGCCCCAAAGGCCGGACTCAAGCGGGATTGTGGAACACAGTATTTAGCCCCCAGCCGAACAAATGTCATAAAAAAGCAATGTAAACATATTAATCTTCTTAGCCCACGTAATTGTGCTGATGCTTCTGGCTGGAGCTCAAAGCATTCAAGGACATGGCAGAACAAAAGGGGACGGCGACGAGAGAAGGGGGGTGGCGCAGAGGGAGAGGGAAAGCCTTCCTTTGAAACAGCAACAGAGTTCAAGGATCTGGGGATTAAGTGCCAAATATACGGCGGGGAGAGGGCGGCTGAAGGCCCCTCCAGCAGCAGAGTCCAAGAAAGAACATGAAACAAAACAATGGTAAGCTTAGCCTCGTCCCTCCACAATTTGTGGGTTAAGCCTCCGTGGATTTGATTATTCCCAAATTACTGAAACTGCCACCATCTCTGATGCTGTCCTATAGACCGAAAAATCTGTCTTCTCGTCTCGAGGCATTTGCTAGGTCCTCCAATGCAACTCTATATTAACTTCCATAGAATTGGCGGGGGGACCTAGCAAATTGCTAGAGTAGTGTTTCTCAACCTTCCAAATGCCGCGACCGCTTAACACAGTTCCTCATGATGTGGTGATCCCCAACCATAGCATTCTTTTCGTTGCTACTTGATAACTCTAATTTTGCGACTGTTATGAAGTGTAATGTAAATATCTGATACTTAGGATGTATTTTCATTAACTGGATCAAATTTGGCACCAATTGAATACTGCTGGGGTTGGGGTCAATTTTGTCATTTGGGAGTTGTAGTTGTTGGGATTTATAGTTCAACTAAAATCAAAGAGCCTTCTGAACTCCACCAACGATAGAATTGAACAATAGAGAACAGACTGCGCTCTGGCACCACGAGATGCAGAGCCAACCTGAAGAAATGTGGCCACAAAGTGGAGTCCACGACATGCGAGGGAG